TAAATAAACCTATCGAAATGGTTATATATGAAAATGCACAAAATACGAGCATGGTCAGAATCGTTTTTGTTAAATCTTTTCTTTGTCGCCTCCTTTCATATTTATGTTGACATATGTCTATATGTTTCCACTTAGAAAAAAGAAATAAAAAATATATAAGATAATAAAAGATATATGTACATACATTCTTTGTCTAAAACAGGCATATTCCACATGAAGAGATTTTTAAACTTTGTTACTAAAATTCCAGATCTCGAGTGCTGTCTCTGCTTACAATGTGTATCAAAACTGATCAAAGCTAAAATTTCAAGTGAATTTCTAAAGCTTAAGACGAGTCAAATTCAATACTATGATAGTAGACTGACGCAATATTCATTATTTGGTTTTTAATATAAGCTTATCTTATAAGTGCAATTATACGCCCACAAAAGTCCAATTCGATTTTCTCCTGTGATGAAAACACGTTTATGTTTGTGCGTCTTGTCTAATTTGTCAATTGAGGTTCGTCTCTTATAGATATGCTAATGAAATAATATTGATTCGAAACCGAGTATACTTATTCTATTTAAAATTGAAGAGATAAAATTGAATCCATAATTCCATGCTTTTTAGAATTCAAATACTTTTAGAACGTAATAGCAACAATAAGAATATATGAATTGCCACGTTCCAGAGTATTTATTTTAAAATCGGAGTTGTATAAATAATGTTTTATAATTTGTTATATTTTTGATATTTTAATTATAATATCATATTCATTTTTTTTATCAAATATGATATAGGTATGACTATCTTTCACTAAACCACCATAATCACCATCAATTCAGCTATGAAAGCAAATTAAGTATATATCGAAGATTATTTTTTTGTTCTCGAATATTATGTTCTAACATTTATATTTGATAATAATTATTACTTTCATTGACTATTCTAAAACTAAATTTTAAAACCTGAATTTTATTAATATTCAGTATTATGTGTAATACTTTTGTGAATATTAATTGCATCAATACAAATATTTTAAATTAAATATTACGCATCGACAGTTTTGTCGTAAATAAATAGAAAAAAATCTCTATTGATTATAATATACTAGAATTTCTGATTATTCAATTTATATATATATATATATATATATATATATATATATATATTTATTCAAGCTGTCAACCATACTGAAAGCAATCCATCGTAATATTTTATAATATGTTTATGCATTAATGCAAATCTGATAAGTATGTTCAAAATCTACATCTACGCTAATTAAACACACAAGAAACTTCAACATGTTTCATTTCATCTTTAGACGTTGCACTTAATAAGTTTTGCATAAAGTTGTTAGAAATATCTGAACTTGTGAAATGTGAAAAGTCATTTCAGTTGCAAGTAATAAAGTAAATATTCAAAGATATCTGTAGTTTTAAAATGTGAGAAAGTTTTTTTTTACTTGTTAATCTTGAAAGACAGGGATTGAAAAATTTTAAAGTTCTGTTTGTTCTCTTATTTTGTTTGTAATAACTGAATCTTATTATGTGCAAATAATTAAAATGTGAAAAATCTTATTAATGTTAAATGATATTTTTTAAATTTAATATTACCTATTACATTAAATACTTTATTATGATTTGAACAAGAAGTTTTATTATCCGGTTGTTAGTAAAATTATTGTTTTCTTTCTGAATATTTGTTAATATTTATTTGATAATTATTTTTAGTTTCTAGAGTTTAAATAATAAATTATGTTAATTAAGTAATTTAACTGATGAATTATTTTAATTCCAGGTGAGGACAAGGAACGTGGAACTTTAGATTTACTGCTTAGCACTGGCTACTGTCGTTCCCACATGTATTTATCCAGGCAACTTGCTCAACTTCATCCAGAGTTGACAATGCCCATGTTTTCGGGTAAGAAATTTTTCAGATATTTTATATTAACAATTTTGAAACATTATTACCATATAATAATTATAACTTGCATATAATATTAACATAAAACATATCAAATGTACTATTATATAACTTTTATGAATTGCTGAATATCATTGAAAAACAATGGTATACAATTTGGAACCCCCAGTTTGGCTGTTCTATTGGCTTTTCTAATGCGTAGTAAATTAATCTTCAGCATGATACAATTTCTGTAGGACTTGTATTTCTAACTCAATTGTGGTTCACATAGGAAGTTTGGCAATGTAAACATTTGAACAAAAGTCCCCATTTTGTTTTGCGGTATTTGTGTGTAAAGACCGAGGAAATTGCTCGTAATTGGCGAAGTTTATTTACTCATTCATTACACCCTGGTCTATAGGTAGAGATTCTCTGACACTTGGCTCTGAATTATATATGAAGTTTAGCGATAATGGTTTAAGTTCAAAAATCATCAAGTTTATTAATTGCTAAGCTGTCAATTGAAACGTATGTTCTTTTGATTTCAATGTCTGGTGACTTTAATTTACAACTTTTCAATTAATTTATTCAATCATATACCGAAGATGACAAATATATATCTAGGTCTAGACTACAATATTAGAATTATTTAAAGTTCTTGAACTTTACTTTACATGACTTCAATAACACACCCTATGGGAAGCTAAATCATCATATATGTCTTTAATCCATCAATATTTGCATACTAATAATTTTGTTGTATTTCATTCTTATTATTTAGAAATAACACATCGATTCCAAACTGCGCGCCCAGAAGTTCGACAATTGCTATTGCAATGTTTACTTCCATGGCTGCACAACATGGAGCTTGTTGATCCTGGTGCACCAGCCTCTGCGTCCATGCACCACGGATATCACCATTGTCATCATCCGCCGTTGCATCAGCAATATCATGTGAGTAATTTTATAGTAAACTAGAGGAGCATTTTATAGTCATTTTTAAACAGATAGTTAAAGTTTCTTAATTAATAATCTGATATTTTTTCTGAATTATTTTGAGTCTATAATATAACTATAGTTGATTTCAGTCGTTAGTTCATTTAGATAATAAATATATTATCTCTGATTAATTTAGCCGAAGCTGTTGGTAATATTTATCATCATTTTTTTTATTCTTCCATATAATTATTGATTTATCATATAATATCTCTAATTTATCAAATATTCATATCGTTATTATTTATTGTTTTTAGCAATTAATTTCCATATAAAGTTAGAAATATAAATTTTATTTTAAATAACATTTATTATAAAAGGTGATGCCATATTTTTGAATTAAATTTTTCCAATTTTCAATATTAAGATTGTATTATTAATCAAGAATGTTAAAAATGTGTAGTCATATAATTTCACTTCAAACAAAGTACATTATCATGACCATGATCGATCACATAATGTAAACTTGAAAAACATGATGTAAATTTATGAAAATAGTTTTATGATAAATGGCTCTGCCATAAACCATCGCTTTATAATCGTGTTTATAAACAGTTTCGATACGATTTGAGGAAAAGTTGAAAAATTGCTTGTATTTCTGGCTTCAAAAACAATATTAAACTAGTTGTGTATGGCATCGTGCCTTAAGGCAAATTGCTGGAACTTCCCGTACCGTAACGAAAATTTGCAGGAATATTACATAAATGTTTTCATATAGATTCATAAATATTGTAACATTGTCTAATATTTATAAGAGTTATATAAACTGAATCACAAAGTTAAAATTATTTATTTAAAGAATATTAGTAGTTTTAGAACTTTAGCCAAAATTAAAATTAAAATCTGAATTATTTTCGATATGCAAAAGAAGAATTATCAAAAAAAAAAGATTTGAAAGAAAAATCGATTTTTTTCCCTCCAAAAGCAATTAATTTGTCAAAACAAGCAGAAAGTTTTTTAAGTCATTCAAATCGGATGCTTAGTTCTCTCAAAATTTGCCATTTTTTGCACATGTGCACAGCTCGGTATCTCCGAAACGGCTTTGCCAAAAACTAATCAGCATACCTCCCTATCAATAAGAATCGAATGTTTTTTAAATCATTCAAATCGGTTGATCCGTACGGCCGAAAACGTGGACGGAAAATTGTATCTATACATACACACACACATGCTCACACATTTTTTTGAGGTATGCCAAAATGTTCAGAAACCTTCAAAAGGTTAAGAAATGTAAAAATTATCAATTTTTTTTGGACGATTACAATAACTTACCCTACGGGAAGTTAATATTGTCGAACATTTGGTAAAATAGTCATAGACTTCTGTATTTAATTTGCTAAATACTTAATATATTAAAATTAACAAATTCATATAATAAATATATTAAAATTAATATTTAAGTATACAATGCAGTTAAATAATCAAATCTAGCTAATTTCACTAATAAAAAAGTAGTAAATTATAAAATTAGATAATATTGATACAAAATGCACAAAAATCAAAAGAAGTCAATACATTTTAGCAAAACTGATTAGTATTTTTTGAGGAAAAATGACATTTGAAACTATAATACCGTTTAAACAAAAAAGTAATATTAATCAAATAGAAGAAAATAGCAAATATTTGAAAAAGAAGTTAGAAACACTAAAAGTTTAAAAATAATATATTTAAAAAAGTAATTCTTCCAAGAACGAATAAAAGTACGAACTAATATAATAATTTAAATAATATTTGTTGAAGTTGTTCAAAAATATGCTGCAAGTAATTAAAAATAAATCTTATTATCAAAACAAGAGCATAACGCGTTTGTTTGTAACATTTACACATTACAAGTTTAGTGTTTAAATTGCATAAGGCGTTTCCGTCTGCTTTATTCAAGTAAATATGAAATAAATTTGCTTGTATTTATTTTTTTGGCACTTGTATTGCTCTATGTTATATTGTAGAATATCGATTAATAAGCACAATTATCTACATAACAGTCATATCAAAGCAAAACTTTAATTATGGTTTTTAACTTACTGAAGTCTAAATTGGTCGTTCGTGGTATTCGAACCAACGCTCATTAGGCAAAATATTTTATGAAACTTGTTTTACTATTATGCGAACTGCAAATTATGAGAAACATTAATTAAACTAACTTCCAACGTTCATTAAAATGTTATCATAAATGTTAATTACCACAAACCTGTACCATTTTCTATTCAACAGTATCACGCAGTTCACGGCTGTTGCGAAACACCACCCGACTTGAGCACGCCGGATCGTTTAGGCGACCGAGGCGGCTGTATGGCTGGTATAGGCGGTCAAACTGGCGGTCAGATAGCGGGTTGTGGCGGTCCAGGTTCAGGTCGAGGTGCTGGAACTGTCGGGGCTAGGAGAGACGGCTGGGGTTCGGCTGAAGCGACGGAAATGGTCTTGAATAATTTATTCTATATCACTGCAAAGGTAAGTTTATTGTTTTTGTTAACTTCTCGAAAAAACAGTTTATGCTTTTTGCCAGAAAATTCGAATTCTCGACATCTCAAGCCAATGATTCAAAATCATTTGGCCATTGGGAAAAGTTTTTGTGTGAGCTATGTATGTGAGCTAAACTTGACCTTTTGTAGACATTTCCTCAAAATAGTGGATACAACTCGATAAGGACTCGCGTTTAATTGTTTTGCCCGTTGATCGGCCGAATTGTTTCTTCAAAATTCAAATAAATTTCTGAATTTTTTGTCCAAGTTGGCCAAAAATCATGAACCGAATTTGAAAATTTAAATTCTTGAAAGATCAGTTGCTGATCGTGCTTTTGTAATTAATTGTTGATTTTTTTGACGATTTTTGACGACGAATTTTTGTTATATTTATCATTTGGAAAAAGTCATTTTCTCACATTCTATTTCCTTATTAAACATTCAATACTTGATGGATTTAATTAAATTCATAGTTTGTAATTCAAGAGTAGCATGGCAACTTTGAAATACTTTGTATTCAGTCGATGACCATTACCTCACATTCTTGGAATACATCCATCGATTTTGAGACTTTGTTGTCATAGCAAATGTCAAAGATACAGATTGGATGATTGTAACACAAATGTTTCACATAATAAGATTTTGTACACCTTTTTATGCGGGCGGAATTCAAATTTCTCAAAGAAAATGCACTTTTCTCATTTTTGTAAGATGTTTAATCATTATTTTGTTGTGTACATTTACTTTTTTACAGTTATATTGCCCTTAATATTTTCGTCAAATAAATAAAAATAAATAACTGATTTTAAACATTTTTAAATCATCACGATTTCAAAATTACAAAATTGAGTAAGTTTAGTCAAAATATTACAGAGAATTAATACTTCTTCTGCTTTTTATAAGAAAACTATTATTATTAAATTGATTTTCATTACAATTTTATTACCTACATTTAATATTTTCTATTAATGAAACGTCATTGTGATACCGTGGAAAACAACAATTTTATTAAGTTTGATGAAAATATTTCTTTCTATAAACATTATTGCTGTAATTAAATAAATTTTTATGGTTTGCCAATCTGTGCTTTAGCTAGACTTCGCCTTGAAATATTATTTCATATCCAAGGTTAAAAGAGATGTAATAAACATGGGCACAAATTGAGAGTCATTAAATATTAAATGAAAATATTAGTTTTAAAATTTATGTGTTCAGCCCGATAATAATATCACATATTTTAAGATTGTATTATTTATATAAAACGCTAAATGTGAAGAGAATTATTAATACAATACCTAATCATGAAATATAATCAGAACGTGAAAATGCTAAATGCACTTTTGCGATAATTTTAATAATTCTTAATGTAAAAGCTAATGTATTTTATCTAGATTGATTTCACGGAATTCATTCACGGAAATGATAAAGAGTATTTTATTCAGGTGAACTAAGGAAAGAAAATATGATAGATATCTCGTTGGTTATTCTATTTATAAAATGTTGAAAAGAAAATATCTAGCGAGTCCGAAGAATCTTTATTGCTCTATTCTGAGCCTGAAATCCTCAATTTATTTCGTATTAGTTTACGACACACAATGAATACTTTCATGAGCTTTATTGTGCCACCTATTGCATTTTTGATATATGATTGAATTGAAAATCAGATTCGATTGGTACTATCAGATTTCGTAATGATGTCCGGACATACGCATAAGTTAATAATTAATAAAAATTAATTGTACTTACATTTTATTCCTTGAGCATATTAACACTTATAAGGTTCAATACTGGAGTAATACTAATTTCTTGTATCCGGTTGAAAAATTTTTGTGACCATATTTCCCGAAAATGCAAATGATGTAACGCAATATTTTCATACATTATTCTTGATTATCATTTATGAAGTTCTGAAAAAAAAAGATCATAATCAAAACTTGCTCTATTTTGCCACCTTTCCGTGTAAATGTTAAGTAATTATATAAATTAATCTTCTTCGTATATTTTTATTATTGTTAATTGATTTAAATTTTATTGCAAATGGTTTATATACGACTTTATTTTCAGTTAATTGGGAGTAGTATTCTAAATCTTAGTAATTTTAGTGATTGAAAATTTCCATTATTCATGGGCATTAAGTTTAATTACGCCGGTGGAGAGATCTGGTACTTTTACAGTGAAAATCATTTTACAATATAATTTCTGTGTTCTTCACAAGATTCCATTCATAAGCAATGTGTTACGAGGTTTAATATACATTAATATTCTGCTTCTTGTTTCAAGAGTTTTCCATTTTACAATGTGATATGATGAACTGAAGTTTGAATTACTTAACCATGACGACACTTTAATCATACTGTATATATCATAGGTGCTATAAAGGACTAAAAATAGAAAAGTCTATACTTGCAATTGTTCCCAATTTTGTATATTTTTTTGCGAAACATTGCATATAATTTTTTTTCTTATCTGAAATCTGAATATGTGGCATTTGTTCTTTTAATTTTTTTAAAATATTTTATGAATTGATTGATTTTGATAGCAAACATTTTTTTAATAATTGGTAAATATAAATGAAATATCCATATCACGACATTGCTTAATTTTAAAATTATTATCAAAAAGTTTTCTAAAAATGGACTTTTAGTACCGATGAAGAAATGTGAAATATAAAAAACTCTTGTATTATCAATTTTAAATAATTTTCTTAAGGACGAATGTATATATATATATATATATATATATATATATATATATATATATTGAGCTTGAATGTGCGCAGGAGCATTTAATATTATTATTATGGTTTGAATTAAATGAACAACATTGTTTTGTATTTATATGATATCACTTATCTTCATAATGAGAAATGTGTAATCATATTCTAGAATTTCCAAAACACTACAGTAATATTTACTTAGCTTATTATACATTATGTAAAGGTTAAATCAGTCAGCATTTATTTTATCTTCACTTCTATATTTAATTAACTTCAAGGTTTTTTAACAATAAAATTAAACAGTTAATTACATTACGTTTACTTTTAATTACGTTATCTATTTACACACCCTATTCCAGTTTCGCAAAACCAAACCTATAATCTTTAAATATAGATTTATAGAATGTCCCATATCTATTTATAACGTATAAAATCGTGACTCATTTTAACTCGGGTTGTTTGTTATGAGAAGGAATCCTTTGTTTATTTCTGATCGTTCCTTTTATAATGTAATAGCATCTGAAACAAAAGCGAATTCTAATTATAAACATATCTTGCATTTATTGTCACAATTATTTTATTGAAACAATTATATTTCATGGCTGTTTTCTCTGAGGAATGAAAATACCAAACGGAAGGCTCTATATAATTATAACTAAGATTTTTGTGCTGTATGCAATTACGTTTTGAAAACATTTGTACATTTATAGGGCGAGCATTTATAGGCAGTAACCCTTTTGCTGTTTTGTGCAGTGTCTGTTGCTTTTCTTATGATGTTACATTTACAGCATTTGATTTTACCAATATTATTTTTTTTTTAAATAAATTCGTCTGTGCACGATAAAAAGTGTTGAATAGGCCGCGAAAGCTCTTCACAAAACGGAAGCTTTCAGCTTTAAGCTCGTAGTTCAAAGCTCAGAGAAATACCGCTAATGGACTGAGCCCGTATAAGCTTGCTGTGACATACGTGACGCAGATTTTCCATAATTTGCGTCGGCGTCATTTTAGATTAGAAAATCATATGGAAATTTTCGAAATTTCACTCGATTGCAATACGCCAGGTTTCGGCAGATAGGTTCGCTTGGGAAATAATCTAATGCTAATGTATGTACACGGTGAGAATATATTCATTTATCTATGTATGAGGAGGTAATTTGTGGATTCTGCACATTTGAGATATAATTCTTAACAATCTTGTTAATTATATTTTTAAATTAAATAACAGTGCATTAGTTTTAGCAAGATGTTTACCCAGTATAAATATAAATTTGATATGATTACGACATAGGATATATTAATTCTATTTTCTAGGCATAATATTGCCGATTTATCAGATGGTTTTATTTTGCTATAGATGCAGGAATAAAAGGACTCACGTATAAAAAGCAAAAATAATAAAAATAATTCTTCGTCTGTAAATATGTGATATTCTGCATGTCTGTGTTCAATTTTACACTAATACATATTGACATCAATATTTGATATAAGGCTATGAGAATTCGAGATTTTGTCACAAATAACCGATTATATATTTATTTAACTTTTTTTATAGAAATGTATTACAAAAATAAATTCATAACTATTCTTCAGTCGTTTTAAAAACTATATTTAGAGCATTGATTAAATGCTCTTTATGAGTAACTTCTCATTAACAGTATTTAATGAAATTATTTTACGACCTTAAACAATATGGACTTAGATGGAAGCAATTTATCTGTACTCACTGAAATGATAAATCTAATCACGTGTCTTTTGAACCTGTGTAGTACCTGTGTGATTAAATAGAATGGTCTGCATATATGGCAAGTCTACATGGGGGGATTGCGTTAATTGTTTTAAGAGGCAGACATCAAATAAAATAAATGAATAACGCCTGCTTTTGAAATAAATGGATTAATGGCCATTGAATTTAAACTGGAGATGTCTGAGATGAATAAATTCATATTCAGAATTACTGCAAATAATAACATAGAAGTCTAGTTACACTTGAGAAAATGTAAACATGAGTTGAAAAAATTGTGCATTTTCTGGTTCCAGATGTGTAAGTATAGGATATGGGCACTGCATCCTTGATAATGTTTTATCAAATAGTAATGATATGCGTTTTTAGATATAAATATGTGTCAAAAATATATTTCAATTTTTAAAATACCTTTTCAAGTATCGCGTTTTAACAGTCAGTTTCCCTGAATAGAATTGTAGTTAAACTCATTTGTCATTTCATGAATGTATATAATACCATATCAAATCAAATCATATCAAATCCTACAAGCTCAATCCATAACCTTACTATTATTATCGTTTGGCATAATATAGTTCTATGTATCTAATATCTATTATTTGCACTCCGATTCGGTAAAAGCTTGTCGACGTGGAGCTTTTGAATCAATTTATACACATTAAACAGCAAATTGCCTCACGATTGAATGATTTATATTTGCATTGGGAATATTGTCTCCAAAGGATAAGTGTTGAAATTTAGCGGATTTATTTGTTCCAATCTTAAAGCATTGCTTTGTCTAATTGTACGAATCTAATCGGGCTATCGAATTAATGATATAAACACTTTCATGGAGCTTAATATTGTTTTCAACTAATTAATGCTTGAATATCTTCATGTTTATTGTATTACCTTTAGCAAAAAGCAAAATTTTTAGACGTAAATTATGTAATATAATATAAATTATGTAATTACATATTTTGAATGAAGTAATACTATGTATGTGATTAGAAATATTTGCATTATATATTTAATTATCGAACACGCGTCAGGGTTCATGAAAAAATTACTTATTTTGTCATGAAATGTATCTGAAAGCAAATAGTTCCTTTGTTCAAAATATTTTTATAGAGCAAAATTGATCTGAAAGGTATGGCAGGATTATAACTATTATATGGATGCACAAAAAAACACTTTAGAATCAAATTAAAATTCAATTATATTTTACATTTGAATGCAACTGAAAAATAAAATTTAAATTACAATGTCGCGATACAAATGGTGACTTGTTAAAGTTGTATCCATTATTTTTATCATTTTTATCAGTATTAATATGTTACTCTTTTAAATAATTTGAATTTGTATATATCCCAAAAAGTTCAATAAAAAAGAAACACGAATTAATTTATTACCATTGTATAAAATGAAGCGCTTGTTGCCTACCGGCTGTACCTATTTTTAGGCATGTGCAATGATCCGTCAACAAAATAAATGTGATATTAATTGAACTCTTTGAAAAACAAGATTAATATTTTATGGGTTATTTTTAGATTAAATTACTCTTTATTTATTGAAATGATTGGTTTTACCGAATTTATATGAAGGGTTAAATCTGGTCAGCTTTTATATGAATACATTAACTTTACTTTTATATTAATTTCATAAACGTTTTAAATTTTAATTTAAAAATTTAATTATCTATTCCAGCGCATACTATTTTAATCTATTTTTCATATTTCCGTTCATTATATTTTTTCCAGTGAGTTTTAATTAATTATTAGATTATTTTAATATGATTAAAAATGATGAATATTGATAAAAATACGATGAGCTTTTATTTGTTGTTTACTTAATTAAAAACTCCGTGCGATCAAAAGTTCTTTCGTTCATAAATTATATATGTACAACAGTATTTCTTATTATCCAAATTCTATCGAATGGATTTCAAACTTTTTCGTCTGTATGCATGTTTTAGGAAAAGGTTGATAATTATAATGTTCTGTCTTCTAATTATTCAATTCCGTTGTTTACTAAATATATTTTTCTTTTTTCAGTTTGCCGATGAGCATCCACGAGATGTAGAAGAATTATGGGGTACTTTGTGTTCTTTTTGGCCGAATAACCTAAAGGTTATACTAAGATATCTGGTTATTGTAAGCGGAATGGCTCCCAACGATTTACTACCCTACGTAAGTAGTACTTAGAAGAGTAGGTTAAACGCATTTCAACATCCGTACCTATTAGCAGATAATCCATTTGGGCCATTGCTAACAAACTTTGCTGAAAAGACCAATAATTTACGAAGTAGTCGGTTTCAAAGGGCAAATTGAGAAATATTTAACGGTCTCGCTGACTACATGTAAAATGAAGTAGTCAGGATGAAATATGCAAAAATGTTATTAAAGAGAAATATTATTAATCAAATTGCTAAATATTACTTAAAACTAATGTTATTTCAAATATTGGATGTCTAAAATAATAGTTGCCGAATAAGCTTATACTATATAATCCAATGATTATTAAAAAAGTAGTCAAATTTTATATTTTTAACTTCCCGAATGAGAAGTTTCTGAATCGAATGAGACCAAATTTGAAAAAAGTATGTGTGTGTGCGTGTATGTGTATGTGAACAGATTTTTTGCCGTAAATCGACGTTTTCTCCGAAACGGCTGGATCGAATTCAAAAATTTAATAGTTTTTTATAGTCTTATAGATCATACTAAAATATTACGTTCCTACGACAACTCGTTTAACTTTAAAAATTTATCATAGTTTGCAAAAATTAGTATCGTTTTTTTGCAATTTGTCAAAATTAGACCTTTCATCGACGTTTGCTCAAAAACGCCTGAACCGATTTCAGAAATTTAAAAGCCATTTGATGTTTCTCGATGAGGATTATCATTTCTCAGTTTCGTGCGACGATCGGCCGAGTTGTTTCTTTGTAATTTGGGAAAAAGTGTTGAACTTTTCGTCCGCATTTAAGCTCGTACTACGGAATCGATTTTAAAAAATCAAAAACTGTTTGAAAGATATTAGTTGGGAATGATACTGATTAGTTTTAGGTGAAAATCTACCGAGCCGCTTTCTTGTAATTAACTTTTAAAAACAAATTTTAGCCGATTTTATGGAACTTTTTTGGCGATATCTTGGTCTTATAGAACTTACTGAAATATTAAGTTTAATTAATTAGTAGTTTAATTTTAAAAATTCATCAAATTTTGAGAAAATGAGTAGTTTTTTTGACGTTTGTTAAAATTAGAATTAGACTATTTACTTGGTATAACGATAGATACCTGGTCTTAATGAACATACTGAACCATTAAATACCTACGGAAACTGGTTCAATTATAAAACTTGTTTGTGTTTGAAAATTTGCATTTAGAAAACACTCCGGGTTAACGCATTCGTTCATTTTCAATTATGTGTAATAAATCCACTCGGAATACTTTTAATCACTCATAAATTAATTTACTTTTTATTGATTAAGTCGATTATTTCACATATCGGGAAGTTCATGTAACTTGCCTTAAAGGCAAAATACCAATACCAACTAGTTATTTCATTTTTTCATGAACAATCTTTAAATGTGATGCTCTACTGCATATGTAAAAAAATGTTGACTTGAAAACCAAAATTTTCCGCCTAAAAAACAGTTATTACTAAATGATAATTATAGTTTATACGAGTGTAACTCTTATTAACTTCCCGAAGGAGAAGTTTATGTTTTCATCAAAAAATCCGATTCGCTAATTTTATGTTTTCTCGACGTTTCAAGCCATTCTGAATCGAATGAGACCAAATTTGGAAAAAGTATGTGTGTGTGTGTGTGTGTGTGTGTGTGTGTGTGTGTGTGTGTGTGCGTGTGCACCAACAGATTTTTTGCCGTAAATCGCCGTTTTCTCAAAAACGGCTGGACCGATTTCAAAAATTTAAAAGCCATTCGATGTATCTCGATGAGGACTATTGTTTGTCAGTTTTGTGCGACCATCGGCCAAACCGTTTCTTCGTAAATAGCAGAGAAGTGAAAACTCTTTCGTCCACGTTTTAGCCCGCAGTTATGAATCGATTTTGAAAATTCAAAAACCATTCGAAAGATATTGGTTGGGAATCGTGCTGATTAGTTTTTGGTAGAGATCGGCCGGGCCGTTTTCTTGTAATAAAGTTTTAAAAAAAAAAATTCGACGATTTTTATGATTATTTTTTTGACGATAGATACCATAGTCTTCTAGATCATACTAAAATATTACGGCCCTACGACAACTGGTTCAGCTTTAAAAATTCGTCAAAGTTTGCAAAAATCAGTATGGTCTTTTTGGCATTTGTCAAAATTAGACTTTTGATCGACGTTTTCTCAAAACGCCTGAACCGATTTTAGAAATTTAAAAGCCATTTGATGTATTTCGGTGAGGACTATCGTTTGTCAGTTTTGTGCAACAATCTGCCAAGCCGTTTCTTTGTAATTTGAAAAAAAGTGTTGAACTTTTCGTCCACATTTAAGCTCATCCTACCGAACCGATTTTAAAAAATCAAAAACTGTTCGAAAGATATTAGTTGGGAATGATGCTGATTAATTTTAGGTGAAAATTTACCGAGCCGTTTTCTTGTAATTCACTGTTGAAAAAAAGTGTTAAATTTTCGTCCACTTTTAAGCTCATCCTACCGAACCGATTTTGAAAAATCAAAAACTGTTCGAAAGATATCATTTGGGAATGATGCTGATTAATTTTAGGTGAAAATCTACCGAGCCGTTTTCTTGTAATTAACTGTTGAAAAAAAGTGTTAAATTTTCGTCCACATTTAAGCTCATCCTACCGAACCGATTTTGAAAAATCAAAAACTGTTCGAAAGATATCATTTGGGAATGATGCTGATTAATTTTAGGTGAAAATCTACCGAGCCGTTTTCTTGTAATTAAATGTTGAAAAAAAGTGTTAAATTTTCGTCCACATTTAAGCTCATCCTACTGAACCGATTTTGAAAAATCAAAAACTGTTCGAAGATATCATTTGGGAATGATGCTGATTAATTTTAGGTGAAAATCTACCGAGCCGTTTTCTTGTAATTAACTGTTAAAAAAAAAATTAAGCCTTTTTTCATGAAACTTTTTTTGGCGATATACATCATGGTCTTATAGAACTTACTGTAATATTACGGCCTTACAACAAGTAGTTTAATTTTAAAAATTCGTCAAACTTTGCTAAAATTATTATCGTTTTTTTTAAAGTAGGATTGATGAAGTATATTATTTACACTTTTTTTTTTTGACTAAGTCGATTATTTACACATATCGGGAAGTTCATGTAATTCGCCTCAAGGCTAAATACCAAACCAACTAGTTTCATTTTAATGTTAACAGAAGAACATATAAAAATAACAGATATTCTTAATTATTTTTATAATTGATTATCCTCCTACCAGGCTAAACGAGTGGCGTTGTACTTGGCCCGCGCTCGTCCAGATAGACTTCTCGAAGAGATGATGATAGAACTACAGACCGTTGAAACTTTGAATTGTCTCATAGAGCGCACCGAAACGCCGCCGTTCTATCGCCTCACAAGTATGCGAAAAGCTTCAAGTCACTCCGATGGTGGTGCAAATGGAAATAATGGATCAAATGGAGGTCAAAATGGAAACAATGGCAACTCTGGAGGTCAGAATAATGGCGGTAATACGGATAGATACGCAGACTTGGCGGTCGAGAAGGGAACCATTCATACGAAACGACATAGTGGTGAGGATCCTATCAAAAGTGCGGGGTGAGTAGATGGTAACATTTTTTTATGAACAGGTAATAGTAATAAAACTTTAAGCCAAACCATTTCACATGTTTTTTTATATTTATTTATCTAATTAAATATAACTATATTTTCCTTCTGAATTATAATTTTCTTTGTGATGCGAATAATTACGTTTTCTTCTTTGTAGTCATGCGCTCCCAACAATCGACTATAGTTTTAACTAAACTTGTGTAATTACTTCTTCGAACTTGAACAAATAACTCTCTAACGACTTAATTAGCTTATCTGACTACGTAGAGAATAAAGTTTACTGAAAACGTTGCTGTTTAATCCGGCGTAGCTAATTATTCTAATAATAGTGAATTTGTTATTTGATGTTAATTATCAGTACGCCGTAGTAGAAATATTATCTCTATATAACTAATTATAAGATAAGAAATGAAATGAGATATCATTACACCGTGATTTTGTTTCACCTTAGATCCTCAAAATCTGATTCTGCTTTAAGAGCTTTTAGCTCGCCTAGAGGGTACGAGAAAACTCGAGGAAATAGTGGTCCACCAATTGCTCATAGACCAGATGATAATCTTGTTAATGAACAGGTTCTTGCTGAGGTAAATATTTAAGTTAACTGTTAGGTAAACATGTAGCATATTGATTAAAGTGTTTTGAATAATTTTATTTGCTTAATTATTACAAAATGTTTACTTGTATATTTAGTGCGAGGAAATGTATCGTTCAGCTATGATAGCAGCTTGTATTGGTAGAGCTGAACCGGAACCTCAAATTCAGCAACCACATCCACACCCTCTGCCTATGCCGGAATATGGTGGTTATTTTGCACCACTCAAGGAATATTTACCTGATAGTTCTCAACCCATATCCGGCTTTCACAGGCATGTTATGTTTAATATAATATGTTCTTCATATTTTTTTTTAATTATTTATATTCTTATTATTATATCCTTGACCTTAAATTTACATTTAGTTATCAAATAACTCCATATTTATTCATTATTCATTCAGATCAAATATATTTTGATCAAAGTTTAGTTTCCAGTTTTCAAATTATTTCGATACATACTAGCATTTCACAACTAACGATTTGATATATTATATTGTAATTTTCTTCAGATGTAACGTAGCTGTGATGTTATTGACTGATATAGTAGTCGATGGTGTTGATTTGGATTGGGCAATTCACGTGCCTCTCATGCTTCACATATTGTTTTTGGGTCTGGATCACACCAGACCATTAGTCCGAGACCATTGCAAACAATTACTGCTTCACTTATTGGTATGTAATGGTATTATTGTAACTAAATATTTATCATTATTTGTCCGTGATAATACAGTTACATGACTTTTATTTTTGTGCAGATTGTCTTGGCTGAGCATAATGATCATTTAACAGTAGCAAGAATTTTACTAAATAGTCAAACTTCTGAATTAGGCCTTGGCTTGCCAACTCCAGCTTTACCAGTAATAAAACATAATTTTACAGGTAAATACATTTTTAAAACAAACCATTTATTATAAACAAATCACCATGAATTGCTGTATATTTTATTTCTGATTTATTATTAATTTTGATTTAGAACCTGATGCGGAATTCGACAGTTACTTGAACGGAACCGCTAATGCTACAGTACCAAATTCAGGGCCGAATAGTATTCCATCACAAACAACAGGTTAAACTTAGAAAATACAATTATTAAATTTATTTTATAATTAATAATTTATCTCTTTTTAATTATTAGTAGTAGCAGTAACAAGCATCGCTAGCTCTGTCGAGCCGCAGGTTCCTTTAATAGTCACTGGTGAAGATAGTGGTTCGTGGACTGGTAATGTACCGCAGCCTGGTCCAAATATGGCAACAGCTCATGTAATAAAATCGCTCATAGATTTCTTATCATCACGCCAAAATACTCCGTTGTGGAATTATGAAGACATCACAGCAAAAGGTAATGAACTATATAAATATTTCATAAATAATAATTCAAATATAATATATATAATACATTTTGTATTATGTTATGATATTTGTTGATGTTAAAAAAAATCCTTTTTTCTAGTTTGGTCTGTGAGATCTGCAGAACAAATTGATACGTTTCTTCAGCATGTGTTGAGAGTATTTAGAGATGCATTACCGCATGCTTTAATTAGTGAACGATGGGCCCAAACTGCTCTTCAACTAGGTTTATCTTGCTCTTCAAGACACTATGCCGGAAGGTCATTACAGGTAATAATATGTGATATAAATATGTTAATAAACACTCTACATTTTTCTGCACTATACTTCTGATAACTCCATTTACTTTTAGGTATATAGAGCGTTACGTGTTCCAATTAGTCCTAGGATGCTTTCGGATATTTTATCTAGATTGGTGGAAACTGTGGCTGAACAGGGTGAAGACATGCAGGTACATTATTATATTATTATTGAATTACTTATTATATAAAAAAAATGGTTTTAAAATTTTCAAATATTTGCAGGGATACGTCACCGAACTCTTATTGACTTTAGAAGCAGCTGTCGACTCCTTAGAATCAGATTTCCGTCCATTAGACTTTAGAAAAGAAATCTTCAAATCAACACCCAATCTTAACAATAAAGATGGTGTACCAATTGGAGTTGGAGGTAACTGATACATATAATCTCATATCTTTTATATAATAAATTATTATATATGATAAAAGCATTTTAATAACATTTGGTTATCCATATATAAAGGAAAACGATCGCCTGGTGGCGGGGTTGGCATATGCGGTCCTGGTAGCCCACAACCTCCAAGTTGTAGTGGTCATATGCGAAGTACGAGCTATTCAGTATCGTATTGTACTCGTAAGGCTATGGGTTCACCAGCCAACGAGAACAAAGGTTTGTAAATAATATGTTGATTTGTTACTCTATTTAAAATTTCGTACTGGTGAAGTTTTAATCAGGTTTAACTTGAAAAGAATGCTTAGCCATAAAATCGATAATGATCAATAGTATTTACACTGAAGTTAACGTTACCTAAGAATCATTAGCGAGTTCAATTAATTTTAAATAACTAGATGAATTTAAATAATTGCTCGTAAAACTTAATTATATATTTTCTACTTTTGATGTGTGTGTAAGTATTTAGAATGTTAGCACAAATCTTCATAATACATTTTTGTTATAAGTTATTTTTGTACATAATTGATGTTTATTATTACCTAATTAAGAAATGCGTGGGAGAACATCTACAGAAGTGGACAGCCGTACAAGTTCCAGTGCTAACAAATTTCCTCCGAATTTATCGCGTTCTCGTTCTGCACAATCATTAAAATTATTAGGTGATACACAAACACAAGACGACAAGTTAACTATTTTAGCGCAATTATTCTGGTTGGCTGTCGGTCTATTGGAATCGGACTATGAACATGAATTTTTACTTGCTGCAAGGTATTTGTTATAAAGTGGTGATGTAAAAAGTCTCCAGGTCAATGTAATGTATATTTTATTTCATTTTTTGTGATTTGCAGATTACTGAGCAGAGTTCTGCATAGATTACCTTTAGATAGACCTGATGCTAGAGATAAGATAGAGAAAATTCAACAGCAACTTCGTTGGACTTCATTTCCTGGAGTGCATGCTCTTCTGCTTAAGGTGTCATTATTATAACAAAGCTTTTTTTAAAAAAAAGAGAGAATAATACATTATTTTTGTTATTCGTTTATCAATTTAGTTGACGTTCCAGCATTGCCGAATTTTACATTTTTTGATGTTATATTGATACTTTTGTTATATTTTCAGGGATGTACAAATCCAAACACATACGAACCAGTTGTTATTTTGCTCTCGCAATTTACACCAGTTTTAGATTTGGCGGTAGTTGATCCAACTCAAAGTCTCGCTTTTCCTATGAATGTTGTCGCTTTATTACCATATATGGTTTTGAATTATGAGGACGCTAATGAATTATGTATTCGTAGCGCTGAAAACATTGCTCAGGTATAAGAATATTTGAAAATGCTTTATAATTTTATCATAACTGTTCTATAATAAGTCTTGAAGTACATGAATATTAATTTATTATTTTAAGATACCATATAAGTAATATTTACATTTTGTTTCCACAGGTTAGCACTGAAAAAAGTAAGAAACTCGAATACTTAGGTACCGTTATGACATTATACAGTCGCCGAACTTTCTGCAAAGAAAGCTTCCAATGGACAAAATGCGTTGTAAAGTATTTATACGATACATATGCTCACCTGGGTCTCCATATGCTCGCGTTTTTAGTTGAGGTCTTAGAGAAAGGTTCTCCAGCAGTTCAGTTACCTATTCTTAGTATAATTCACTGTATGTTGCACTACGTAGATTTGGCGACTCCACAAGCGCAGACTATAAATTCGGATTTACTGAGAGTTATCACAAAATATTTAGAGGTAAGATCAGATATATTTGTTAGATATAAAAATATATCTTCTTTTGTGATAGGCCCAACGCATTAATTAAAAGTCTATTTATTTTTCGCAAATGATATTTGAAAGCTAGTTAAATATTAATTTAAATATTTTAGGGTACTCATTGGAAAGAGGCCTTGAAAATTTTGAAATTAGTAGTGAATCGCAGCAGCAGTCTTGTTGTGCCTCCTGCTCCGCAGTCGCATTTATGGGAGTCTTGTCCATTGCCGCCTCATCCATCATTCTCCGAAAATGATAAAAAGGTAATATTGAGAAAAAATTGATGAAAATTTAACCTCTTTATATGGCCAGAAATGAAATTTGTGTAATCATATTACAGAATCTATTAATTGTGGGAAATTCTTGTATTTTAAAAATAATTATTTATTCAACAAAAATATCATTATCTTGCAAACTAAGAAACATGTGTTCTTTATTTTTAGGAACTACCTGGTCGTACCATGGACTTCACATTTGATCTGTCTCAGACTCCGTTGATAGGCCGTAGGTATCTTGCAAAAGGCCAGTCTTCAACTAATAATTCAGCGAATAATTCTGGACCTCAATCGACGACTGCTGATGGTTCAACTGCTTTATGCCCTGCATACCCTAGTTCACCTAGACGTTCTGTGTCATTGTCACCTGCGGACAATACGGCATTGGCTGGTTGGAAGAGACCCTGGTTATCACAGGTAATTATACAAGTTATCAGAATTTGCAATTTCAGAACTTCAGTTCACTTTTCTCGGCATTTCAAATTTATAACATGCAATGTATACAATATCTGTGGATTTATATATATATATATATATATATATATAATTTATATATATATATATATATATATATATATATGATGCCATTATGGACTTAATGGCATCATTGTAGTTTATCTTGTATATAACATTTGTATTCAATCCTTCTTAACATGGTAATTTTTATGAAAAAGCTGCAGAGTATTAATATTTTTATTTACGTTTTATTTCTTTATGATTCACTGATCAAAACGCTTTTTGTTAATTACTGTTTCGATAATCAATGTTTTATATATATAATAATGCTAACTTAATCAATGTTTTATATATATTTCCTTTAGGGCCGTGTCAGAGAAAATATGGTAAACCTTCTTTCAACTTGTGGCCAACGTGTCGGATTACCGAAGAGTCCTTCTGTAAGTACTTTAAATTATTTTAAGTTATTATTTATCAATAGTTTTACCTGAATAGACTCAGGTTAATTATTTTCATTAGTGTGAAGTAAATAATCTATACCAAGTATACTCAAAATATTCTATTACTATATATTTGCAATTTTATCATGCCGCTGTTAATAGGATGAAATATTAAATTCGATATGTTTCGAAGGTAAATCAGAAAGGAGTCCAGGTCCCAGGAACCAATAAAGTACACTTGTTTATCTGGCTTGTAATCAAAAACACGCAAAATTATTTTGAAATTTACCACACTATCAAATAAAAGTTTTATTTATGCTTGTATGCACTTTTATCACAAGCGAAATACTCATTTTATATTCAATTGATTTTGATACACATGTGCAAATTTTTACACAATTTCTTATTTGGTAAAGCACTATGTTTACTACATATTACACTATATTTTTA